AATCGGATAACTACTGATTGTAACTTCATTGGCTATAGTGAATTTGTAAAGTGTCAGTGGTCTGTGAAGAGGAGTTTGGCGATTTGTATTTTTAGGTACAGACCTTTTGCGATTATAGTCGTTTCCCGATACGACAAAGTAGCAGATAGTCCATAGTCTGTGTACCGGTTGTTTTATTTTCATCCCTCACCATTGGGTAAGAGATACGAAGTCGCTCAAATGGGGGCAAGCTTGCTGATTTAGGTAACTAACAAAATGCCGCTTAGGTTTCGAAATTCATAGTTTCCCAACATCCCTTTATGTTGCTTTTCCTGATTTTATTTGCGGTGGTATTTCAAAATGAATTGCACATTAACACTACCACTGTTTCTTCTCTACAAGATAGTATAATCATAATTTCAATATGATGTTTCCTCCAGCCTCAACTTTATATGTTCTTATGGATTTTTGTACAATCCTTGCAAATTCCTATTTTTTCATTCCCCTGTGTACGAGTAGCAGTACCTGTTCTATAAATTTTCTACCTTTTTATACTTTTTTACACCGTGAGTTGGTGGAAAAGCTTGCAAAAAGAGTATATCACTCCAGTTGTGTTCTTTTTTCTGTAGCAAAGACAAACGTTAATAAGTACATTCTCGCCTTGGCTGTTCCTCGCGCAGATTCCACAAAAGCTACATTCAACTCCCGAATGAAAAGACTTGGCTTTTCCAGCAGGTACAAGCTTAACAATACGGATACCTCAGTAATGCGGTGCAACCTTCTTTCAGCTTCGGGCTCTTTTTCTATGCGCCCGGACAGCATGTTTCTTTTAATACATACAGTGCAATGCAGAGACGGTACAACTGCAATTATTATTGTAGGGATTTCATGGGAAGTGTTTTGTTCCCTGTTTGCCCAAACACAGAAGACTTACAAGTTAAAAAAGGAAGCGATGATGGTCGCTAAAACTTGTTTTATTTTATTATTTATGTATGCAGACAAGAAATTCTATTTGACTGGCTACAGTGCAAACGATTTGATGGATTTTAAGCTATGAAGATTCGTCTTAGCAGTGTGAGTGACACTGCATATATTAAAATTCTATAGAATCAATGTAACGGACTTTGTCTTTATAGCGCGAGTGACAATGAGTATACCAAAATTTCATAAAATCGAAATGGTGGATTTTAAGCTTCTACTTTGAAATTTCTAATTCACGGGATATACCTCCCAAGTGGCTTGATCGATTTTGGCATTTGTGGTGTCCTTAGATTCGTCTTGGTAGCACAATTAAAAATTTATTCTTGTTAGCTACTGCAGTCGGATTTTATGTATTTCTCATTGTTCATTGAAGGTCGCTTGACAAAGGATTAATGTATAATTACAATAATCCCCTTTTTGTGAATAAATCATTTTAGATACAAAAACTAGTCACTTTGACCATACCAAGTCTATAATTCTAGCAAAATTGAAAAATGTTCATTTGTTGTACAAATTAACAAAACATTCTTCCAAGATGAAAAAAAATAAAACACCTATAGAACACCAAAATGTCAGAGGTTCTTACAAAAAAATTTCCAAGGAATTACCTTTAAAGGGCGCCAGTGAAAATACGTCTTCCTCAAACAGCTCTTGAATAATACTATATGATCTAATAGCACAGTAACATCCAACGCCCGTACTCCTTAGTGGGTGAACCAAATTCTTATTCACGGCTGATATCCAAACACAGTTATATATCTAAGGTTCCATTAAACGATCTCGAAAATATAACTACTGTTTTTTTCCCGGTTGCTACAAGTATGATCGAGTATATTGGATCCAGTATCGTAGTTAATAAAACTGACACGAAATTTCCCTTTGAAACGGCTCTTTCTTTGATATGAAACAAGACTACTTTTTTCAGCTGAATGATTAGACTTTCCAAAAATGTCTTTTTACTTTCCACGCACAACTGGCGAGGAAGTAATAGCGAAAATTTCCAAAGTGAAATATGTTTTTTGGATGCAATTTAACACGTATATTACGAAAAATCATGCCACTCATTTCTGTTGGTCTGTCTGTCTGCTAATCCTCGACCCGTCTACAACTTGGAAGGTACTACTCGAATCTGGATGAAAGCTTTAGCTTTTTCAGCTTTTAAACATCGGTCGGGTAGCGGCAAAGTAAATGGCCAACAACGCAGAACATAAAACTCGCTTAAGCTTTGTTTTCGAACGTTTGAGAGGACCCTGATAATTTTTGAAACGTTTTTATGAAAAAATAATTGGAGGGTGGGGGGTTAACCGCAGATTCTACGTGCCAACTAGGCATATTTCACACATCTATCACCTCATATATTTTCTTTTAAAAAAAAGAAAAATATAAAGTGCATTGCTGCTCTCGGGCCAACGCCCACGCGACGAATTTTCACCTGAGCAACTGAGAGGACCAACGATACATTGGCGATGTAAAAGTTATGATTACCAGGGCTATACGATTCATTGATATAAATAATAAGATTGGGTGCCTACATAAGGGCTATAGATACTCAGGTGAGAAACAGCGAATAGATTTCTACCAGTCTTCTAGGAATGTGAAAATATTTTCTGAAGTAAGGAAATAAAGTCACAATAGTTTTTCTCCAATCAAATTCATCATATTACATGAACAGCTGTAAGCTCTTCTCTAGACGACCAGCAGTAAACCTATCAGATCGTAAGAAAGTTGATCCAGAAGCAATGCATCATGCCCATAAGTTCAACTTCTGTCAAATGAACAGTGCCTCTTTTCACTGATATTCACTCTACTCTACAGCATTATGCTAGGGTATAAGGCTTGCAAACAATGAAGGTACAAGCTCCATTTAACGCCATTTTTGAGCTATTGTTGAACATTCCTACTGCATTATTGTTCATGGTTACTTAAGAGAAACCAATATTCAATAAGATGTCCTTTAAAAGCCCTTGTCTCCGTAGAGAAGCATCCGCTGCTCATATTTTTTGTGTTATTTGGGCATCCGAGAGGTTCACAACTTATTTTGGGACGGGCTCAATACATCAATTTCGAGATGTTGCTTGTTTCCATTTTTTCATCCCCTTTTCCACTCTGACGTATTTCGATATGCTTTCTGCAAAGCTCTAAGAAGAATCTTTTAGAAACATGGGAGTGTTGCTACGTGCAACCTCGATTTATTGGATTATTCGTTATTGTAAAGAGGTGCCTATTAATTTTCAACGAATTCTTTTTTTTTACATCTCGTATTGTTAAGGGGGTTAGATGGTAGAATAGATATATAATCTAAATCTCGCCTCCTGTAAGAATATTACAAATAAAAGACGTTAATTATTATTATTATTATTATTATTATTATTATTATATATTGCCTGACACATACAGAGAAGACCCCCGCCCAAGAGCCTTTACGCGACTCTCCCCGTATTTCGGAAAACAAAACAAACAATAAACGAATGAAGAATGATGACAAGAATAAGGAGATTCTTATGTGGTCACATTAGCACGCCTCTGCCGCGAAACTTCCCGATATTACCAACCGACGCGGAATTTTATACCATCTCATGCGTCTCCTCCTTTTTTTGGCTACCCGGAGTGTACAAAAGAACTGATTCGCTCTTTTTATTACAACAATAACGTGACTATAGCCGTGCATCTCGCACTGAATACCCGCCATGCTTTATGGCCGTCTTTATTAAGTTTTACGTTTCATTACTATAAATCAGAAATACCGTACCGAAGGTCTACAATGGACACGAAGAAGGATGTCAGTGGTGGAGGCTTTTGATTTAAATATTTGTCACAGAAAAAGTAGAATATACAAAAAGTCCCGAAGACATGATTGTATGGTGCATACTAGATATTTATGTACGAGTATATAGGGCATAAAAGAGGTGTTTACGGCTTGTCGTGTGAAATTGCACCCTAAGTTGGGAAGCCTAACGGATTAAACGGTAATTGCTGCTGAAATGTATACAAAATTTTATATACGAGAAACCATAGTGTGAGTTAAAAATTTAGACTGGCGTATAAATAGATACGGAACGAATAAATCGACTATAATGTATTACCGGATACCAGTATTTGCAGTTGCTGCATGCAACAAACAAATCTATGTGCAGCATGCCGCCAAAGTTACTTTACCGCCCTGGGTCGTACAAAAGACTGCGCTAAGGCGCCTTACACACCAAAGCCGAGCTGAGCCGGGCAGAGCAAAGCGATGCGATGCCGAGCCGAGCGAAATCTGCCTGCGTTCGCACTGAAGCCGATTCGCTCTCAGTAGGTTTTCTAGCCTTGTAGTGAGATGTGCTTCCACTCAGTTCAATTAAACCAGTCTCATTGTCAGTTGAAATTATTCAGTGCAATAATGTCAGCCACTTTGATGATACAGTACTAGATAGTTCCGCACTTGATGATGAACGTGTGGGAGAAAAAAGGCGATACTGGACTCACAATATCAATAAAGATCACGAGACTAGCGGACAGTTCGTAACTCTATACCAGAAACTTCGAGAAGATGAAGAAAGGTTTTGGAGATATTTTAGAATGAGTACCGATACATTTGATTATATACTGGAATCCATTTGTCCACAAATCCACAAAAGAAACACGAACTACAGAAGAGCTATTCCATGTGAAGAAAGGCTGATGGTGACTATTCGGTAAGTGACCAAGAGTCTAAATATATACGTATTGTCAACAACTTTAACCTTAATTTTTTCTTTATCTACAAGTGGAAAAGGGTGTAAAAACAACATATTAATACGTTTTAAAAAATTGTATTGATAAGAATTCAGTACAATTCGGATATACTACAAATATATTTAATCTATATTCTATCATCGGTGAAGCTAGAAAATGAAGTTGAAGCATCCCCTGGATTGGTCAGTGTAGACGTTTGTAATATGTAGTCAGTATAATTTATAGGTTGCAGACTGGCATAATTGGGTTTTTGGTTTTTATCAATTTCTTTCATTACAATTTCCATAATTTTGTATCTCAGGAACATTTGTAAATTCATAGGGAGTCTATTTATGGGGTATTTGAGGCTCATCAGAAAATGATAAGTTGTATCTTTCTCGTCTTCTTTTTTTGCCATTGATTTTACGATGTGCTTCAATATGCGGCCTTTCACCTTCTTCTGCTGCAGTGACTTTGCGTTTCCTACCTACACTTGAACTTAAAGAACTAGAAGGTGCAGAAGATATAGAGACATCAGTTGGCGATTGTGGGAAACTCATCACCCCTCCATCAATAGACTCTGTTTCACGCTGAGACTCTTCCTGAGTGAAATACGAGGAGTCACTTTTCAAGTTTCCTTCCATACTTCTAGAAGATAGGGTTCCTCGTAAAAATTCCATGTTTTTGAACCATTTCCATTGGGGCTTGCATGGTGAGGCTTGGGCGTCCCCAGATTTTGGTTTGCATTCTTTCTTTAATTCATTCCGAAAACCGTCCCTCAAATGTTTCCATTTTTTCTTTGCTATAATATCTGCAACAAACAAGAAATAATGTTGTTGAAAATTGTATTATTGTTCACAATAGACATTAAAAATTGTATTAGAGTTGTTGAGTAGCACATTTGTTGCAATATAGAAATTGTTTTCAGGTATCTATCGACAGGATTATCCTATGGAGCCATCAGTGATGCATTCAAAATTGGAACCTCAACGGTTCACTACATTATTGCAGAAGTTTGCACAGCAATTTGAGACAAGTTAGCATCGATACACGTGCCGGAACCTATAACTAATTTGCTTCTGCGATCATCTACTCTTTACATGCAAAAGTTGGGGAAATTCCAACTGCGTGGGGGCTATAGACGGGAAGCATATTCGTGTGAAATGCGATGCTAATTCACGAAGTATGTACTATAATTATAATGGGTACTATTCAATCGTTCTGCAAGCACTTGCTGATGCACAATACAAATTTATTGCGATAGAAGTTGATGCATATGGTAAATAATCTGATGGTGGAATATTTTCTGAAAGTACACTTTATCGTTGCTTAAAAAATGGTACTTTTAATATGCCAGCAGACACAGAATTGCCACAAACAAACATAAATTGTCCCTTTGTGGTTGTCGGAGATGAAGCTTACCCTTTGACTCCTTGGCTTATGAGACCTTTCCCGAGCAGGGAATTGGACGACTTGAAACGAACATTCAATGAACGCTTGTCAAGAGCTAGAAGAGTTGTGGAAAGTTCGTTTGGAATGTTGGCGCCTAAATGGAGGTTACTCCAAAAACCAATTGAAACAACCCCTGATTTAGCTGACAAAATTGTAAAGTGTATGTGCGTGTTGCATAACATTGTTATCGACAAGGACGGAATGGACGAATTAATGCTCCACAAGATAGACCAACAATCGTCCAATTTCGGTGAAACTGAACAACTGTCTCCAACTGTAAATACACAAGACGTGCACTGACAACGCGGCTGGCATTTGCGCAATATTTTTTAAATCCATTGTAGATTTCATTTTGATGTAACTTTTCGATTAAATTTCTATAAAAATATATATTAGGTACCTACCTGTTGTGTTGCATTCAGCAGCTACTTCCTTTCATAGATTTATTGCAACATCCCTATCCATGTACTTCTTATTGGACTGATCCCACAACGGAGGTCTTTCCTGAATAGAACTATTTAGTAGTTCAACATCAACACTAATTTTTGTTTATTTTTTGAAGTGACAATATTTAGAACAAAACAACTTGACGTGTTTTAACTTATTGGAACGCCGAACTAGACTGGAAGGACTCTGAATCCGCTTAGCCGAAAACGCTCGAATTGGCGGTACATAGCAGTGCTCAAATAGGCTCGGCCTCGCCCGATCTTGCTCGGCGCGGCCCGGCGTTCTGTTTGCAAGCTCCCATTCAAATCTTGCATATTTAGCGTTTGAGCGATTTCCGTCCGGCTCGGCTCGGCTCGGCTCGGCTTTGGTGAGAAACCCCACTAAAACATTATCCTCGGTACCCGGAAAAAAAACGCACACTAAAGTGATTAGAACTTTTGGTCGGATTCAATGATTGCGTATTGTACCTCATAAGCTGGTCATTGAAAATCTTCATGGGCACTAGAATTGGAAACGAAAGTACATGGTTTTATTACAAGCTTTTATTCGACTTTTTTTTTTTTATATCGAAACAGCCGCGCAGGCAGAAGCCTAAATGCCGGAACACCGCGGCTGCTATGATGATCCCAAAGAAATTTTGTTAATACGATTTTTGAACTGCCTCAGGTTAGTAAAACTGGGAAAAGCTTCCTCCCGTAGATTGTTCCACAATCTAGACACCCGCGGGACAAAGGAGCTGTCGTATCGGCCAGTTCTGGATGTACGAAGTTTGACACGGTTAGGATGGGACGCCGAAGTCAGGCGGGTCTGTCTGGCAGGCACATCGCGCGGCGGCATCATGGAGGAGAGCTCTGAGGAGCAAAGCCCGTTGGTGTAGCGATAGAAAAGAGCTAGATCGCCGACGACCCGCCGGTGCGAAAGAGTCCCGAGACTGTCTGTTAGAGAAGAGTCATCGATCAGTCGGACCGCCCTCCTCTGGACAGCATCGAGCATGGACAATGTAGTCGGGGCGGCAGCACCCCAAATGTGTGAGCAATACTCGAGGCTGGGCCTTATCTGGGCCTTGTATAGAGTGAGAAGGTCATGCGGAGAAAAGTACTTCTTAGCCCTAAACAAATAGCCTAGCTTTTTCCCAGCAGCTGCAGCTATTGAAGAGATGTGTTCGTGCCAGATCAGGTCCTCGGTGATCTGGACTCCGACCAGCCGAAATGAATGGCTCTTTGGTAGAACTCGACCGTCCATCGAAACTGTATGAGCGCTAGGACGCTTTTTGCTCGTCAAAGTACAGTACTGTGTTTTGGAAGCATTGAACTGTACAAGATTGTTGCGTCCCCAGGCAGTGATAGCCTCCAGGTCTCTTGTCAGAGAAGAAGTCGCCGCTAGTCTTCTTTTTTCCAGCTCAGCGGCAGAGATCGGCTTGTCACTCTGAATTCCTGCATGTAGAGTGCTGTCATCAGCGAAGCTGTGGATTGGGTTGATCGTGCAGGAAAGGAGGTCGTTGATATGTAAGAGAAACAGTGTTGGAGCCAAGACCAATCCCTGGGGAACACCCGCGTTGACGTTGTGGGATGAAGACGAGAATCCGTCAATTACGACGGATATCTTGCGGCCAGAGATAAAGTCAGCCACCCATCTGCAAAGCTTTTCTGGGAGGCCGTAGGATGGAAGTTTGTTCAAGAGGGCAGCGTGCCACAGCTGATCGAACGCTTTCGTGATGTCAAGAGCAACGACATGAGCCTCACCATGAGACTGGATGAGTTTACTCCACAGTTGCGTGACGTAAGCTAGGATGTCCCCTGTGGATCGTTGGTGCCGGAAACCGTACTGCCTGTCGCTAATCAAGCTGTGACGTTCGAGGTAGTCCAGAAGCTCGCGATTTATGCACCTCTCCATCACTTTACTTATAACAGAAAGCAGAGCTATAGGCCTGTAGTTGCAAGGGTCGGTCTCAGATCCTTTTTTTGGGATGGGCTGTACATGAGCAAATTTCCAGTTTTCTGGGAAGGTGCCGGATTCATAAGATATCTGGAAGAGACGCGAAAGAACTGGAGCAAGTTCCGCTGCACATCTCTTCAGTACAATGGCAGGAATCAAGTCCGGACCAGAAGCTTTGTTGATGCCGAGCGACAAGAGCACTCGTCTTACGGTCTTATGCCTAAATGTTACCTCCCGCATAGTGTGGGGAACCCTTTGAATTGACGGCACTTGGGCGTTGGTGGGGACGTCCATGGTGGAGTTGGCAGCAAAGATCTTGGCTAACACTTCCGCCTTGACCTTTGAGTCGAATACAATAGTTCCATCCTGACACGTAACCGGTGGAAGGCTACTGTGTGAGAAGTTCTTTTCAATCTGCTTGGCCAGCGTCCAGAAAGACCGACCGCCATTGCGCTGCGACATTACCCTGTGCCTAACTTTTATATCATGCTGGTTTTTGGCATTGCGAACCGCTTCGTTATATTTGTTTCTGGACTCGACGTCGGCTTGTCTGTTCTCTACAGTGGGGTTTTGTAAGTAAGTTCTGTGGGCCTTGATCTTCTGCTGGCGAGCAGTGTCACACGATTTGTTGAACCAGCCGTTGGACCCTGGTTTAGGAACTTTCACTGTGTGAGGGATGTATTCCTCCATTCCGACGTGGATAATTTCGGTTATTGAAGAAAAGACAGTCGACGCATCCGCGTCAGTGAAACAGACATCTCTCCAAGGAAAGCTAGAGAAGAAGTCTCTGAGCCCCTCCCAGTGGGCATGTCCGTAATGCCAAGTTTTGCGGCCTGTGCGAGTTTCTGCTGCCACAGCGGCTTCTGACCGAAACCTAACCTCCACAACACCGTGATCTGAGTTACCCAGGGGGGACAGGACAGCAGTGCTGTAAGGGGCAGGATGCGTGGTCAGAAAGAGATCCAGCAGGCTACTGGCGTGTGACGAGACGCGGGGGAAAAAGGTAGGGCTCGTCACCAGCTGGGTCAGCCCTTGAGTAAGAGCAAACGCTTCGACTGCACGACCTGCTGCATCGGTCTTATTTGAGCCCAACCAAAGCTCATTATGGGCATTGAAATCACCGAGAAGAACTACCTCTGAAGCAGGGTGATTGATGTTCAGGAAGTCGATCTGGACGGCGAGGTATTCGAGTAGGTCATCCCAGTTATGGTTCGAGGGAGAGCGATAAAGGCAGCAAATAAATTTGGGTGATGTTTTGGAGTTGAGGCGAAGCCACAGAATGTCCTTCCGATCTGATTCCAAAGAAAGATCCCTGGAGCAGGAAAGACTGCTGCGGACAAAAGCCACAACTCCCCCGTTCTTTCTCAGATTGGCGTGCACCTCGTAGTTTGGGAAGTTGAGATGGTTAATCGGTGCAGTCTCTGAGATTTTTGTCTCCGCCAAGAAAAGCACGGCGGGACGATTGGATTGCAGGTAGTGATGAACAGCATCAATGTTGCTGTTGATCCCGCAGATGTTCGAAAAACAAATTTTATCTTCGATGTTGTTCCCTCGAGCCCACCCTCCACCCGGACATTCCGAGAGTGGAGTGAGTTTACGTCCGGAGTTCTTAGTGCTTGAGGGATCCATCATCATTAATTTCCTTGTTTTGGTAGATAACCGACTGCATAGCTTAGGTGTGGAAACATGCGGACATTTATAAGACACCCTGGGAAAAGCTAGCGGGTGGTACTGCCTCGGTCGACTGGTCCTTGTCTACCACCTTCTTTTTACATGTTAGTGATGTTAAATAGACCTAAAGTGGCCCGTT